AGATTGCTTGTTTACTTTTTTAACTGTAAGGCGGTTTCTTGTAATTTGGCTCTTGGCAGCACAATAAAAAATTTTAAACCTATTGTTGCGGATTTTCTTCAATGTTTGTGTTTATTACTTCCACACGTCAGTCCTTGAGACGCTGGTTAATATCTTGGTATTACGGTGAGGGGGTTTTTTTCCCAAGTTAGGAATTCATGTTGTCATGCTGACCTAAGATCAGAAAACACTGTGGGTAAAGAACAGTTTGTAGTTACAGAAAGTTCTAGGGTTTACGCTACAGAATTTTCGCATGAGAAGCATTTGTAAAATTCCATATTGGAACTAGCAGCAGTGTTTGGATTGCTACTGACCAGAGTTGGGGCTCTTCCAGAAGTAGCTGCTATGATCCAAACTGCCCAAGTAGTAATGGTCACTGTAAAGCTCATACCTGACCTTGAGTAGGACAGATCTGCATTTTTGTGCATTCCTTTACATTTACATATCCTGAATTTCCAGTAATTTCCCCTCCCTTGCTAGTTACCTGTTTCAGCATTTTTGCTTCCAAGGCTTTGGAAGACTGGTACCTTCCTAGAAGAGCATCTTCAAATTCTGCCTGCAAACGTTTTGCGTTTTCACTAGAATGGCACAGAAACATCCTTGCACTGCTGTACAAAACAATGGTGCCTCCACATGTGTGAACGCTCAGTAGTCCCGCCCTCCTCTGCCCTACTCCCAGTCCCATAAACAATCATACTGGGACGTATGCTGGGACGTGTCAGCTTGAACAAGCTGTGGCCTGGTCAGATAGGCTTCAAGCCTTTCAAATACCTCAATGGCACACGGATGCTTAGCAGGGCATCTCTTATTTGAAAATATCAAGGGTGAAAAGAAACTTACAGCAGGCTCAGAAGAAACTGAAGAAGTTGAGTGGAGCATCTACCGTGGGATATCAGAAGTTTATAGTGGTTCAAAAACTACTAAATAAAGCCAAGCCCGTCATTAGCTATTGCCCCTGGGGGCACAACATCCAGCCAGCAAAGGACGGGCGCCTCCAACACCCAAGCTTTATACTCGCTGGGTGCCAGAATCCGGAGAGCAGTGACAGCCAGAGAAGCCACGCAGCCCTGGGTGGGGAAGTGGCAATGAAACAAATGAAACAAATTACAAATCCCGCCTCTTGCCCCACCCTGGAGAACCGCCC